GACCAAATTATTGAGTTGTACTTTCATTATGGTGACAGCAAGCCTTAGTATTGATAAACATCAATGTAAGAGTAATGGAAGAAAGAGTAAAAGGAATTATGTTCTGAAAAACTGAACAAGAACTCAGTATATCCTCCCTCTGCAGTACGTTCAGAACCGAATATTTGTTGAATAATCATTACACTATGTCATCTACTTTTACTTTCATTATCTACGTGAGTATCCGTATTAAATATTTAAAGTGTAGTGTTATACCAAATAGATATTTCTTTTTCACGTTAATGACTGTATTTACAATCATTTAGCAGGTATAGTTTTTTTACTATAAACATTTCGAACTCCTTTGTCCAAACTTATTATAAAATCGGATGGTTCGCTGAATTATATTTATACTTATATTTCTTTTCTGTTACAGGGTTCGAAACGTGATGCCGATATTTACAATACGTTGATCAGGTTGAACATTTCAAATTTTATTTATTTTATTTATTTTTTTGCATTCCGAATAGTCTTATTGCCTAGGAGCGCTACACTACAGCAATAAGCATTGCATTGTTGGAAGAACGTCTACATAAAGCAAAATGCAGCTAACATTATAGTTCCCTCCTTTTACTCCTTTCTTCTAAACTGGGTGAAATGGCTCCCAACCTTCTGCAAAATGTCCGAAACATTCCCAACACTCCAGTAATGACGAACTTTAAAATGACTAAATTAGTGGAATAGTGTATATAGATTGTGTGTTTGAACTGTTCCAATGTATACCTACTTCTAAGTCTGTTAATTAGTGAAAGAGTAAATGATTTAGGTGATATGGTATTATAACAGATTACCTACATGTATGATCCCTCTTGCCCCTCTGTCGCACAGCGGTATGTCTGCAGACTAACAACGCTAGAAACCGAGTTTCGATACCCGTAGTGGGCAGAGCATAGATAGCCCATTGTGTAGTTTTTGTGCTTAACTATAAACAAAGAAAACAAATCAAACCCACTGTAAACATTACACCTATCATACATTTATCTTGGGGGTTTAAATAAATCATATTATAACAGGGGCGTAGAAGCTGGAGACCAGGGGGTACGTGCACCCAATAATTTCTAAACAACAGCTATATAAAACATATAATTAATCATCATTATCACTACATCCATATATTAAACCCGAAAAGATATTATAGATGGCAGCAATACATTTGACTGCTATAAATTTTTAGGTTGACTATTATTTATACAGGTCGTTTAAATGTATTGTTTTTCCCAAAAGGTTAAGCATAACCTATGTTTATTATCTTCTTGGTTGCATTTAAATATGGTATTATGAGTATAATCAAAGAAAAACTGAAAAGTGTTATAATGTTATGAATAAGGAATTTTGGTACCCCCCCCCCCAATACAAAAATACCCTCATAGCTCTGTATTAATAATATAACAGCCAAGAAAGATCTCATTAAATCTTCTAAAATTGTTACGCATTAAACACATAAGACGCTGTTATTATCCACGCATTGAATATAATAAAACAAACATGTATAGATCTTTGTCTCTGCTATGGAGATAAGCCTAGTTTACAGTACAAAAGAAGTGGGTGTCTTCATAGCTGATTATAAAGTGGGTTTTGAATTCTTTAAGTATTCGTATGAAATATTTTGTTTTATGAAATCTGTATTTGATCTAAAACAGGTATTGTGACCTTCGTATACACGTAATGTAGAAAGTGGAGTTATTAACATATTGAACTTTATACCAATCTAAGTCCTGAAAATCAACACAAAAGTAATTGAGGAGTTCCATTCTTGATGCCAAACTAAATATATTTATTTCAGAATCCTTGTTACAAAAAATGAATTAAACAAATCTGTGTAGGGCCTTGCGAATCACAATTTTCTTTTGAATCGAATCATCCCGAAATATTCGAATCAAATCGGCTGTGCATATATGTAGATTATAGGGTATATATGCTGAATTAAATTTTAAATCAAATATAAAATTATTTTTTTATCTATGTAGAGTGCTTCTAGATACAATTAGTAATGAGTTTAAAGTAAATATTTGTAAAAACAAAAGATGTAATATACTTAAACATCAGGAAGAAAAATTATACCAAATTGTAACAAACGTGTTATTACAAGGAAATAGGTTTCAGTATATAGACTGAATCAAAAACGAAATTCTAAAGTTTGCCGGAAGTGATGTAGATTCGAAAATTTCGAAACAGAGCCCTAGCTAACGAATCGAATCCCCACTTCCGATTCGTAATCGAATCGAATTTCGAAGGTTCGCAAGGCCCTAAATCTGTGGTTTCGATCATCCTAACGAGTTTTAACTAATGACAAAAATAATTGTTAAATTATAGTATTTTAGTACGTTATCATAGTAATTTATAGTCAAACACTCATCAAGTACAACCGGCATATATACTCTTAAAAGAAGACCAATAAAATGGCAACCATAAACACAATAAATTAATAAATTTCATTGAAAAGCATGCCTAAAATTACCGACATATTGGAAAATTTTCAATAAAAACGCAGTGAAACACACTAGTGGCACATCAAATACAACCTGCACACATACTCTTAAAAGAAGACCAATAAAATGACAATCATAAACACAATAAATTAATAAATTTAATTGAAAAGCGTGCCTAAAATTACCGACATATTGGAAAATTTTCAATAAAAACGCAGTGAAACACACTAGTGGCACATCAAATACAATCTGCATACTGAAACAATAATTATTTCAAAAAACGTCATTGTCATTACAATGTGGCAAAATAAAAGAATATCTTTCATTAAAACACGTATGTAACATCTCCGTTGCAAAACAAATCCTATACAAACGTCGTCATTTTAATCAATAGTATTATGAATTACAGTGACACACCCTGGTAATGTATATGTATTGACAAAGTAGATCTAATGGAATTGTTTCCAGTTAGGAAGTAGAATAGTGAATTTCAGTACAATGCAGATATGGTATAACAAACTACCTGACAAAACAAGTCTTTCAATACTTTATAATCGCACTTTTTTACATAACATTAGCAAAAAATAGGAAGTTAAATATACAAAGTTCCCTTTATTACCATAATATTACTATATTTTGTTGTTGTTGAAATTTCCTCATAATTGTCTGATTTACTGTACAGTACGTACTAAGAAAAACTTATTAATGAAAAAAAACCAACATGAATAGAACCTTAGGCTTCGTGAAAGAATGCTGATGATTTATCAATTTTTATTGAATTTGATTTGAACTATTAGTGTATAGAATGAAAAGTGTTCTAAAATACATTATTAGATACTGAAGTAATTAAATTACTCGTATATTAATCCACATTTCCATACACAATTACAGGAATCTGTTTACTTCTCAACATTAATCGACACCGCGAATATAAGTAAGACATTTTTCTTGATAGATTTGCCCTGCACATCATTACCAAGGTTTCTGCAGATGAAAAATAATTATTTTGTTTTATAAAGAACGCAGCATTTTTTCATTATAATTTTTGTCTTCTCTAAAACTGAAACATTACTCAGACATAAAGCTTTTTTTCCTCCTACAACTAGTTTTTGTGTTGTTGTTTTTTTTTTGCCAACGATTTTATACGTTATCATTCTTTAGATTTAGTTTGGTAAACATAATTTTATCTTTTTTTCTAAGTGTAATGTAGAAGCAGCAGTACACACAACCTACATTACGAAACAATAAATCCTGTTTATAAAGCCAGCAAGATAAGAACACTTACATAACCATAGTAAATATTAATAGAAAACGTACCGTATTTTTCGGTGTATAATACGCACTTTTTGGCCCAAAAATTTGTTGTCAAAATCTGCTTGCGTCCTATACACCGAAGATATGAATAATTTATATGTATATATACGATATATACAAGCCATA